TCAAAGCTCGAGGACCAATATGTACAAGAGATTTCTAGCTAGCGGAATTTCGAGTGGTCTTATTGCAGCACGTAACACTGCAAAAACGCATGATCGCACGGGCCCGCCCAGTGCGCGTCGTCAATGATTTATGCTAGTGACCGCAAAGGGTAGGTGTAAAGCAACAATCATTCACGCAGTTAATGACTTGAGTACCTCAAGTCCGATGCAAAAATGCATGATCGCACGAGCCCGCTCGATGCGCTCCAACCTGAGTTACATATTTGGATGAGGGCGATCGTTCGTTGCAAAACGCACTCATTTCTGATTTTTCATTAAAGTTGATTATTTCTCACGCCTACCTACTGGGAATTTTACCTCCAAGCAAAATTGAAACCGCACTTGAAGTTAGAATACCCCAGCGAATTTTCAGCCTCGCACCTTGCCCGGTAAGCGAAATATCCACTTCGCTTGGAATATCTTTGACGTGTCCTAATTTGTGACGCAAGTGCGGTTCGGTGCTCATTTTAGGTATACTGCTTCCTATATGGGCGACAAACACGCTGACAGATTTTTAGCCACTGTTTTCCTGCAAGTTTTCGAGTTAGCACAGTACCAAGTTGCAAACTTTGACGTAATCATACGCGCTGCAAAAGCACGCATGATAGCTGAATTTGAAATCTTTAGCTCGAGAATATCCCTGCAAAGTTTCAGCTTTGTGCCTTGCCTTCTTCGCAAAATCGTTTTCTGCCAATGAAATTTGCATACCATTTTCGGGCTCATACGTGGGGTCTAGGCGCGTATGGGAGAAGACCTAAATTGGAGGGTGGCATACGCTGAAGAAACATGTACCCGAAATTTCAGCCTCCCAGCTTTCCTGGTTACTGAGATGAAAGTGGGTGACAAAATGCACTCGCTTCTGAACACACACACTAAAACAGACAATCTCTCAATAGTATGCTTTTTTGCTGGCTGTAGCAGCGCCGTAGAGCTGCTGTAGCGCTGCACAGCAAAAATGCATAAAAAGTAATTCTGAATCTTACCAAGGACCAGGTAATTTGTGGGGGCCAGGGAAGCAGCGGGATTCTGAGGATAAGTAAGTGCGGAAAATATTAAACGGAATGATAAGAATTGATGTACCTTAGTTTGAAAATTGTTCTGAAGGAGACTGTAGTTTCGTTTTTTCAATGGACTGTCACTGAAATAGCAACATCCGTGATGTTTTGCTGAAGTAGTTTTACATCGCCTAGAATAACACTTATGGAACAAGCCTGACGTTCAAACTGTGACTGTTAAGCAACAACCAAACTGAGTGCATATGTGCAGATGAATTATTCCTTTCTTCGGACATTTTCATTGAGCAGACGTGCCATTAAACAATTTATTGAAGTCGAAAAAAAAATCAAAATCCCCTCCTAATCATTTTCTGCTAGAAACGAAGTCGGAGATTAGCCCCAATGATAGCAAATGCCATCAGCGATCTCTCCTAGCAAAGCTTTCAATGGCTCCTCTTTTGAGGTAGCTTGTAAGCAAGCTGATGGCGTGTTTTCACCCTGGCATATGTTGATACAATTTACCACCGGAATGGATAGGTGAATTATGGAGAAATCACTGTAGTAATGAAAATTACTATACCACACAAGAATGGCACAATGCTCAGTTAAAAAATACGTTTTTTTTTCAAGCTAAACTGATGCTAAAGTTCTAGCGCGCTTTCCAGGCAGTGGCAAAACAACGCTACTTAAAATAATAGCTGGACGATGTGCTGGCGACTTTACCGGCGAAATAACGCTCAATCAGCGACTGCTCACACGTAAGACGCAAATTTTTCTCGAACAGCTTAAAAGACTGCCTTTTTCGAAATCTGAATGGGCCAGTAACTTCGCAGCAAAAGTGCCCCGTTCAAGCAAAAAGCTATTATCATTGTTAAGCTGCAAAATCCATTTCTAAGCTGCGAAATCCTCATTTCAGTTTAAATTTTTATTTATGCATTTTGCTGTGCAGCGCTATAGCGCTGCTACAGCCAACAAAACGCATATTGTCGAAAGGCTGTCTGTGTGTGTATTCGGAGAGCGAGTGCATTTTGTCACCCACTTTCGTCTCAACAACCAGGAAAGCTGGGAGGCTGAAACTTTGGATATATGTTCCTACCCCGTGTGTCATCC